GTTTAGTGTAATTTCCTCTTAATTATATATGTTGGCCCATCATGGGAAATTAAATAATTTCCCAACACGAACTGGCTACATTTTCTATGGTCCTTACGGGGGCAGCTGAAGGAAGTGTAGAAACTCCATCTGATTATGAAAATCTACTGGTTTAAAACTTTCTGCAACCTCTACCGTTTGCCCTTCAACACCATCCACATCTTCTTTAACCAGTGTTTCTGACTCTATTCCAACTAATAAAAAAGTCCCAATATTCAAGAAATAAGCCTGCTTCTCTTCCCTCAACCAAACAACATAGTAATGATGCAAAGGCCACGTCAACAGATGAAAGCTCCATGGCACAGGCAACCCCGCCACCTCCACCTCCGCCGGCAACTGAGAAAGGCGGTGAGAATCAGAATAGTCAAGTGTTGATAAATGGAGGGTATAATTTTTCAACAAGTAGCATATCAGAATATCTGATAGAAATGCTACCAGAGTGGCATGTAGAAGATCTTCTTGATTCTTCATATACTTGTGGTCTTTGTAAGGTTTGCATTATTGCTTCTTACATCTATGTACTTTATGGATAACTTTTACATCCATACATAAATATACTCGGGTTTTCTGTGTTAAATTGTCTCATCCTTAAATATATGAAATAGGAGACCTATCTATTCGTTTAAATTTAGTTTTCAATTGACCTTTAATTCTTCTTATAACGTGATAAACTATCCTAAAACAGTTAAAGACGAGACATTATTTCATTTAAATTTATTCTTACTCATCTGAATTTATTAAACTTGATCATGTTGCGGGGCTACAGAAAATGATGTGTTGTCATGAAGGAATGATGCTGATTTTGAGGGCAATCTAAGTGGTTTAACAAGTGGAAGTTTGGAAGGAAAGATTTTCCAAGACTTCATTTTTGAAGGATAAATTTGTATTGAAGTTTCTTTACCAATGTAGATTGATAGCTATTTTGATTTTGTTTAGTTTAATTTGTATGTTTTTCATTTAATTTAATTATCTTGTTTCGGTTAAATTTTTTACAATATCATGATTTATGAAAATGACAAATTATTATCAACAAGGAGAAAAAAATATTAAACTTTTTTTGATTTTTTTTTTTTTCAGGCAAATAAGAATTCATTTAGCAGTTTGAAACTAATCGAAAAAAGGAAAAAAAAATAAAATTGCTGAAACGGCCCGAACCGGGTCGATCCCTGTTAATGAGTGGGTGGTTCGGTTTAGAAAATAACCAAAACCGGTAAAATTTGGGTCGAGTTTGGGTAAATATCAGCCCGGCCCGGCCCGGCCCGACCCGTTGCCCACTCGATACATATTTGTGATTTTTATATACACTTTACTATCTTCACCTAAATCAACATCCATTTGGTTAGGATTGAAAGAGACAAAACGTTAATCGTCGTCAAGGTCTTTACACGAAGGACTCCCCATTGGTTTTCACACCACTCGCCTACATCTCTGTCGTGTTGATCCCGGTGGTTGTCTCCCTCATGCTTGTCTCCAATGGAACTCAACAATACCCATGTTTTTGTCATGTTTTCTCGATACCATTCGAAAGGGCTTCAAGATCATATGGCTATGCTCTAATACCAATTGGCAATTGACGAAAGTAAAAGTGACTAATAATAGCAACACATGATTAAGATTCGTGCACGAATGCCCAAAGGCAATCAATAAATTTGAGAGAAAATCTCAAAATATTCTTTTCAATAAATTCAAGCCAAACCAGTAAATTGAATATAACATAATTCTCAACTTACTTAAAATTGTACCATGATCCCTAAACTCTTAAAAAATAATAAAAAGTGCCTAATAACTACTAACAATAAAAAGGACAATAAAAGACAGATAAAAATAAAAAATAATAATATAAATCTCGTTGAATCCATCTCCATCTCCATCTCCATCTCCATCACTTTTTTTTTTTTTTGTTTGGTGACCCAAAATTAAATATCATAAGCATAACTGATCTAGTAATTATTAAAAAATATCTTTCATATTTCTCTATCATGTCCATTCATTTTTACCTCTTCGATCCCATAGTTAAAAAAAGAACACTTTTTTCGCCTACAAATTTTCGAATACAAAAAGGATGTCGTCCTCAATGTAGGGGAAAAGCTGTACAGTAGCAATGTTACGATATTCCTCAAATTCTCCCTCTCTCTCTTTTTATTTTTTATTTTTACGGTCGTCAAACTTAAATAACTAAAATCGCTCCCTGGGGGCATCATGATTTATAGGATAATTTTTTACGTAGGCAGAGATATTGAAGTTTCAAAATTGTCATTAATGAATTTTCTTCCAATTCAAGTCAAGAATCTAGTATTGATTTTAGTCATTAAATTTACTAAAAATTTGATTTTCTTCCAATTCAAGTTAGGTATTCTTGTATATATAATAATATATGTAATATATTCATTGATGTCATGTATCGAGGAGTTTCTCTTATTAAAATAAATGTTATCCAGAAAACTATAATAAATTAAAAAATAGATTCCATCCTTGCATGACGGGAGCTATTTCTCTGATTTTTCAGTATGAATTGAAGCCCTAACTTCCCTCGAGATCAAGATTCCTTACAACTTTCGACAATAACGACTTTAAACGGAAATATAGTTGCCATACATATCAGCTATTGAAGATACTATTACTCTTGGAAAATTACATTCTCCTATACTAATAGTTATAATACTGGACAAATAATTTACTATAATCAAATTGTAATATGTCAAAGATTTTGACACCCGATCCAAACCCTATTTTCTTGGCAAATAAACCACATAAATCCACTTTAAAAAAAATAAAATCATTCATTGAGAATTCAAAGATCACGTATCGTTCGATACCACTTGATATGAAATCAATCATCGGATTGAGATATTGAAATTATATGGTACAATAATGAAGTATTTGATTACATGTAAAAGAATAAAAGAAAAGAAAATATGACAGAAGAATTAGGAGATTTCATTGCACCACGAATAATGAAGATTGAGAAGTATTACAATAATCCTAAAAGCTAGTAATCATTTGTCTCACACTATAAAATTGTATAGAAGAACCTAATATTTATATGAAACATGTAGTTGACGTCTAAATCCCAATAGTAGAATTGTTGATGAAGTAAGATACTAAAAAATAGAGTCCAAAACAAAAAATTAGATAAAAACGCAAAAATCTAGAACAAATAGGTGGTGCCGCTGCGCCGCTTTTAGGCGCCTCTGCTTGGCACTCGGGCAAAACACCAAATAGTGGAGTCTGCACAGCGGCGCGTTCTGTCCTTTGTTCCTTTTTTTCTCTTCAAGTTGTATTTTTCATCTCAAAATTCTTTTTCAACCCAAACTCCAAATATGGCTTCTAAATAGAATTTCAACTCAAATAAGATTTCAAAATCATTTCAAATTGAATTCTTCTTAACATAAATTTCAATTAGAATTTTTCAATTACTTTAACGAGGAATTCGGATCACACCCAAATTCTAAAATTTACATGTTACAATTTCTATGCCAAATGCAATTCAAAATCCATTCCAAGACTAGGGTTTCTTGAGCATACGTTACAATTCTTGATAAGATAGTAGTAAGTGGAAAAATCTATCATCAAGATAGATACCTGTCTAGACCAAAAAATATCAGTATGTCAACTATAGTAAAAAAATTAAGATAATTAATCACTTGTATGAAACATTATTAACTTAACAACAAATCCACAATCTCCATATGTCTTTCCATAAGTAAAAAGAAATCCATTCGAATTGATGTCGTCCCATCAGCCACGCCTTTTCCATCGATCCAGCATCTATATAAAGGTTTAAAGGTTTCTTCATTCTCTCTCTCTCTCTCTCTCACTCTCTCAGACATTGTGGTTACAAGCATTTTCAGGGTTTTCTGTTTATACAGTAAAACCTTGAGCAATCTGGTAAGTCATGGTGTCTTTTTCCTGTTTGCTGCTCAAGCATTTTTCTATGCATAGATAATAGAGTTCTATTGACAAGTTTGAGAAAACTGAAGGATGGAAAGCACTCATTGGTATGTTTACACGCACACACACAAGATGCATAGATACATATGTTTTTGTGATTGTTTCTAGGGTTTCTCAAGGTTTGGTTGAGAATTGATTAGTAATATGAATTTGTACAATTTTCTTTTGTTTTTTTATAAGAAATAGTTATTTGATCATTGAAATTGTAAATATACATTAATTAACTGCTCGTTAAATTTTGTTTCATGAAATTTTTATTTTAAAATGTTCATATCTTGATTTATTCATTTAGATGATAATGCTGTTTAAATATGATTGTTTTATTCTACTTTTCCTTCCTTGTTTTATTGATTAAAATGCAGAAAATAATCAAATTATTTAAGTATAACTAATACTAGGCAATAGCAAGATAATGCAATTAAATTTATAAACGATATGCGTTCTTTTTCAAAGGATTATATAAGCTCAGAATTATTGCAAATAAGTTGTTTTTGATAAAAAAAAAAAGGGGGATAGCCATAAGTTCTCAAGATTGAAATTTTTGCATTAGAGTACAATGACCTGAAATCTGTTTGGCTATCCGAAAGCTCACGATGTGACATAAGTCTTGAAACTAAAATTGTGAAAAAATATGGGGGTCTGTGGTGTAGCGGAGGGATCGGGTATGAACTTATTATGTATATGATGTTTATTAGGATTTCATCATATCATATTATTCGGAGTAGCCACACTTCTTGTAATCATCTTTGATATAGTGATTTTCTCCTCTTTCCGTGACTTTTTGCCACCTTCAGTTTTCACGTAAATATATTTCTTGCATAGTTTTTGCACAGATATTGCACTACACACTCCAAGATAGTAGCAAAGCTGTACACGCACACAGATAATAGGGATATGAATACAGACTCAACTTGTTTGTATAATCTATTATTAGTCTTTCTTTAGTATTGTTCTTAAGTCCTTCTATTTGTTTGTTTGTTTTTTTTTTAAGAAGAAAAAGAAGAAATGTGGACACCTGGATCATCAGCATCAAAGAAGCTTGACAATGTCGTTGAGCATAACCCTGGGGACCAAATGCTTAGTGTTGAATCATCTTTACTGTCTTCAGACTCTCCGCAGCAGCAGCAATTTCCACCTCCAGCTGCTGCATCAAGGCAATTCAGGCCTGTTACCATGGAGCTAGGCTGTGGCTCCTCTTTCTCGCAGTCATTTTCTCCAGCTAAGGCAGGCCTTGCAACTGAAATTCTTGGGAATGAGATCAGTGCAGAAGTCGGGAAATTAATTCCAGATTTCTTGAAGTTAGCAGAGAAATTGGAGGAAAAATTGACTGTCCCTAAAGAAGCTCAAGCAAAGAAGCCCAAGCTTTACTCGAGGAGAAGTACAAAGAATACTGTGGAATCAATAGCTGAGAAGAAGGGAAAGCCTCTTGTAGTTTTCAAAGACGAGGTCAAGGGGAAGCAATTGGCAAGCAAAGATTGGAAGAGAAAGAAGACTTTGCTGACAAAAGTTGAGAACGATAAGCCAGTTGGAATCAGAGGAGCAGAAGATGATGAGGGGAATAAGAAATGGAACTTAAGGGACAGAAAGGCCATTCAATTGCCAAAAACTGCTATTCTGAATCCTCGTGCAGGATCATCATCTAATGCTGTTAGGGTTGCAGGAGAGAGTGGTGAAAGAAACATGAAGGAAAAACAAGATGATATTTCCACTTTCCCCAAGTTGCCCAATTTCTCTCTTCAACTTACAACAGAAGAAATTGCACTGGACATGCTTGTTATGACAGGAAAAATGCCTTCCAGAAAGCCAAAGAAGAGGTTGAAGAGTGTTCAGAGAGACCTTAATGTAGCAAACAATTACTCTACCTAATTATGATATTGATATAACGTTTATAACAGTATCAACCTTTGATATTCGCCTTTTCCTAGCTCACATTGCAATGTCTAATGGGCAGCTAATTTCTCCAGGTGGAAAATTGGAAGGAATAACGACGCAGCGAAATGACGTCTCTGAAAATACCAGAAAGGTTTGTCTTTTTTCCATTTGTATTGAGTATGCTCTGGTGGAAATTTGGAAGGAATAACAACGCAGCGATATGAAGTCTCTGAAAATACCAGAAAGGTTTGTCTTTTTTCCATTTGTATTGAGTATGACACAATCATGAAACCAGAACACCATGTTCACGTTACTGATTATGAATTTTGAAATGATTTTGCATCTTTCAGAGAAAGTAAGACTGACACGATTTCCTTCGAGAACGCACTTCGAAGGTGTATATTGACGAAACCAAAGAAGATCGTTCCAGTACTGATCTCTTCTCTGTCAGCTAAAATCTGGAAGAAGTCCATTTTTTGTACAGATGACAATTCTAGAGTTATCTTAGTATTATTTGAAGGACTTTTCCATTTGTATCGAAAATGGATGACAATAAATTTGACAATCTCTCACACACGATGGGTCCACGTGATTAAAAAATTTTAAAAAAAAAAGTGGGACCCCCTATTGTGAGTGTCGATCAACCTGTATGTCAACCTGTATAATTTAAGATAACTCTAGAATTGTCATCTGTACAAAAAATGGACTTCTTCCAGATTTTATGTCAACTAGTACGAATAGCACGGCTCTTGAAGAACATGATAATCTTGTTGTTGGAAGAAAAACGTGATTTTTTAATATTATTAAAATATATGCAATTTGATTTAAATACATATTGATAAATATAATTTAAGTGTAAAATAATAATAAAAAAAGAACTTTTTAGAGTTTTAAAAGGCAAGCATTTGAAGATTCTTGTCAAAGATGTGTGTTATCATCAAATCGTATTAGCCTCCGTTCGTTGCAAGTATTATCGGCTTATACAGCTTTAGTTTGTTGAATTAAAAAATTATTTATTTTGGGGTTTTTTGAGTACCATTTTTTTGAAAATTCGTTTTTTTAAAACTCATTTTTAACTACATATTTTTCAATAAAATAATATTATACGTAAATGCAATTTTTTTTTTTCTAATTTTTAACCACAAATTCTCCAAATATAACTATTTAAAAATGCATTTTCTCGCAAAATGGGTTCAAGGACTTATAGAATATATAGGTGTAGTCAAACCAAGCACACAGACTGCCAATATATTTTTTATATTATTTTTTTCTTTCCCATTTGTTTATTTTACCCTTGTTTGAGCACTATTTTTTTTCATCAAATTGTATTTTTAACAGTGATTTAACTCATTTCAACAACACATTCTCCATCGTAACACTATTGCAAAATGCATTTTTTCTGGTGGAAATTTGGAAGGAATAACGACGCAGCGATATGAAGTCTCTGAAAATACCAGAAAGGTTTGTCTTTTTTCCATTTGTATTGAGTATGACACAATCATGAAACTAGAACACCATGTTCACGTTACTGATTATGAATTTTGAAATGATTTTGCATCTTTCAGAGAAAGTAAGACTAACACGATTTCCTTCGAGAACGCACTTCGAAGGTGTATATTGACGAAACCAAAGAAGATCGTTCCAGTACTGATCTTTTCTCTGTCAGCTAAAATCTGGAAGAAGTCCATTTTTTGTACAGATGGACAATTCTAGAGTTATCTTAGTATTATTTGAAGGACTTTTCCATTTGTATCGAAAATGGATGACAATAAATTTGACAACCTCTCACACGATGGATCCACGTGATTAAAAAATTTCAAAAAAAAAAAAGTGGGACCCCCCTATCGTGAGTGTCGATCAACCTGTATGTCAACTAGTACAAATAGGACGGCTCTTGAAGAACATGATAATCTTGTTGTTGGAAGAAAAACATGATTTTTTAATATTATTAAAATATATGCAATTTGATTTAAATACATATTGATTTTAAGTATAAAATAATAATAAAAAAAGAACTTTTAAGAGTTTTAAAAGGCAAGCATTTGAAGATTCTTAGTCAAAGATGTGTGCTATCATCAAATCGTATTAGCCTCCGTTCGTTGCAAGTATTATCGGCTTATACAGCTTTAGTTTGTTGAATTAAAAAATTATTTATTTTGGGGTTTTTTGAGTACCATTTTTTTTGAAAATTCGTTTTTTTAAAACTCATTTTTAACCACATATTCTTCAATAAAATAATATTACACGTAAATAAATTTTTTTTCCTAATTTTTAACCACAAATTCTCCAAATATAACTATTTAAAAATGTATTTTCTCGCAAAATGGGTTCAAGGGCTTATAGAATATATAGGTGTAGTCAAACAAAGCACACAGGCTGCCAATATATTTTTTATATTATTTTTTTCTTTCCCATTTGTTTATTTAACCCTTGTTTGAGCACTATTTTTTTTCATCAAAATGTATTTTTAACAGTGATTTAACTCATTTCAACCACACATTCTCCATCGTAACACTATTGCAAAATGCATTTTTTGGAAAAAAAGAAAAAGGGGGGGGGGGGGGGGGGCAAAAAAAACCTCTAAAAAAAAACAAAAATTTTTTTTTTTTTAAAAAATAAAAATGGGGCTCAAACAACCTTTTAAAGAAGATGGTAAATTTTACATTACTTTAATGGAAAAAATAGACGGTTATAATTTTTTTGGGCAAAAGAGGTCGATTTGAGGGTCCAAATGTCAAAATTGAAACGATGAAAATGATTTGCGTAATGAAGGCAAACGATATGGACGATTTGCGTCAATTACCCATATTTGATGAAAGGAATTAATGGAATTGAAGTAAAAAAACGAACTCAAGAAAATGTTGAAATAAGGGTGCAAATGTCAAATTTGAAACAATGAAAATGATTTGTACAATGAGTACAAACGATGAGGACCTTTTTTGCTATTTTTTTTCATTGTCCTTAACGACTAATTATATTTTTTCGACAAATTCTTGCATTTTTCACGTCTTCGAACGCTCTTTTGTACAACATGACACAATATGAGCTCATAATTATATCTATGAAGTATTACAAGCAAAAAATTCGCTTCTTTGAGCTCCATTAAAATCAAATTTTGAGGAAAAATGTACTTTGAAATAGTGATTTTTTAAAAAAATGTGTGATTAAAAAGAAGATATTTTTTGGATTTACGTATAATATTATTTTATTAAAGAATGTGTAATGGAAAAGAAAAGAGTGAAAATTGCATTTTGAACAAAATGAAGCCCAAACGAGAGCTATTTAGACATGTAGAGTCGCAAGTAAGCTACATGATTGGTTTACCTCGCCCAGCTCTAAAGACCTTTATCTGGGGAAAATTTGTAAAAGAGTGATAATGAAGACGAGTAATGGATCATATAAAATGTGCGGATAGCAAATTTTGATTGCATAATTAAAATTTAATATTTGACTTTGATTTTATATTGTAAAGAGAATATAATGAAATCCAATCAAGACCCAATTTTGGGTCTAGAACTTTGGCCCAATTTGAGCTAGGAATTTTCTCCAAGGTAGTTGACAATGTGATTTATATTGATCTATGCTACGTAGAATTTACGACTGACTTTAGTATCGCTCTTTATATATAAATATATTCATCGAGCTGTTTAATATGTTACTTTTGATCATTTAACCTACCGAAAAGAGTAGGTAATAATGTACGGATTATATCGAGTCTAAACTCGATACATTTTAATACTCAACAAAAATTTATAATCTATTTGTAAAGATATATGTAATACCGAAAATGCCCGGGAGAGCAAAGAGAAATTCACTCAAAACTCCTCCGTCGTTCCGGGCCGGGTCTTGTCACTTCGCCCTTCTCTTAAGCCCATATCTTTCTCTTTCTACAATCGTCGCCGAAGTCCCTTCTTTACGTATGTATATTCTATATAAATATTGTTTCTCACAATGAAGCTCCGAAATCCGATCAGTAATTATATAATTTCTATCGAATGGTATTAAACTGGCGATCAAAGTTTCTTCAGATCGATTTTTCATTTTGAATTTTGTTTGAAATTTTGTGAAGAGAAGTGATATCATATTGGCATGGCTTCTACAGTTCCGGCGAAGTCTCAGTTGCATGGTTTCTCGTTGACGAAATTGACATGGAAGAAGGACAAACACTCGCACAACCACCATCTCCGCCGCTCCACAACCACCAACTTGCCATCGCGGAAGAGCCATCCCGCCTCCGTTTCTCCTCTCCGAGAATCACTAACCAATTCACCTTTACGGGATTCGGTTTTAATTCCGCCGCCGCCGCGACAGTCTTTTTTAAACGGTTCTGCGCAATCTCCTATTCATGGTAACTCGGACGTTAAATCGTCAATGATCGGTGAATCGTCTAAACGATTTGCGATTACTGATTCGGTGAAACAATCGCCGAATAGAGGTGACGTACTGAAGCAGTCTCCGGTACGCGGTGACTCGATGAAACAGTACGCGCTCCGTGGTGGCTCGGTGAAGCAGTCTCCTCATCGCGGTGACACAGTAAAGCAGTTTTCGAAGCGTGATTTATCTTCAGAATCCGAGCCTTCGATGAAGATTAATGGTGCTTTAGTCGAGTATCGGAGGAATGATTCGAGGAATTTAGCATCTCGGAGCACAAAAAATGGAATTTATTCACAGAATTCTGATTGGGTTATCGAAAAATCAAAGAAAAAATTGCGGGCAACAGAAGCTGATGTGGCTGGGAATAAACAGAAGAGATCGAAAATTTTGATAAAAATCCCTTGCATGAATAAACCAGAGGAAATTCCCCAAGAGGAGGCGCAAAAATTCCATAATGATGACGAGGATGCTCATGAAGATGGGAAAATAAACAATAATGAAGATGATGATGAACCCAAGTCGTGGAATTTGAGACCTCGAAAGCCGACAAGGAAGTCCCTGAATGTGAATGGAGATGCAGGTAAATATAATGGGTCCGGGATGAACGATAACAAAGCTCAATCACCATCGAGGAATTTCAATAATAGATCACGAGAGGGTGAATTACATGGTGGTAGTACTGCAGAAAAGAATGAGAAGAGGAAGTTGAACTTTTCGATTGAGCTATTAAAAGAGGATATTGAGGAGGATTTTTTCGTCATGACTGGATCAAAGCCTGCAAGGAGGCCTAAGAAGAGAGCGAAAACCATTCAGAAACAGCTTGATGTAAGAAACTGTCTGATCTTTGATTTATTATGATTGCTTTGGGTTAAATAATTTGTATATTTCTTGTTTTCTATTTACGTTTTAATAAATGGAATTGTTCGATATACTGATTCAGTTTTATGGGCTGCAGAATCTGTTCCCTGGTCTATGGTTATCATCAATTACTCCTGATTCGTACAAGGTCTATGAAAATCCTCCAAAGGTGTGATCTTGATTTGTGCAGTTGGTTGTTTGTATTCTATTTTTTGATATGTGGTTTTACTGTTTTATGACCAATAATATCTTGTTGTTTACAGGGTTAGATGTGATCATGGACGAATGATTTTGGAATTTGTAGGGTGCTTGACTTCCAAATTATGTGATGGCATTTGAAGGTATAAATCTCCAATAATTTGTAAAGGTGAAAGGAAGAATAAGTACTTTTTGGTTTCATGTTCCCTTTTCTTTTCATTTTTTTTTTTCATGCTTTTGACAAAGAAGGAATAATAGAATTTTTGTTCTTTTGATTTATAAGTAGCTCATTGTAAATATGGATTTTTCTAATTTTAGGAGTTTCATTTTCACTTGTAGACTGCAGTACTTTCTTTTCTGATTGGAATTTTTTACTTGTTTCCTAATATTTGGAAAGACTGAGAACTTTATTCCGGGATTCCAAATATCTGGGACTTTGTTTGGCTGATTATAAAGCTCTCAATATGTGTTGTTGAGAAATGTATATTTGAATGGATTTAGTTTATTGGTATCTGATCCTTGAGATGGTGAAATCAATTGTAGTTTTGTATGTCCATAAGCTTTCTTAGGGTATTAGTATTTGTTGGTACATATTCAATTGCTGTGGGCAAGATAAATCTGAACACTGTAAATTGTGAAGCGAAGTAGGAACAACATAAATATTAATTCTCCGCATGCTACTCATGTCATACATGAATTCTGTCTACTGACTACTATGTGTAATGGATGGCTGCAGTTGAAGTTAAATGATTAATTTGATGTTAGTAATACGAGTGTGTTCCAGGTTTGACATATATATGAGTTTTTTTTTTTTGAAGTTTCGTGTTTGTGAAGTTCCTTGTGTTAACAAATACTCTATGGTGGATGTCCATTTGTTCAGTTGCAAAATAATTGGGTGCCACGCAAGTATGCACTGCAGTTTTCCTTTTCTTTAGTTTCATTGTATTGAGTTAATCTAAGTAATTCATTACAGTCTGCCCGGTGGAAATTTCCAAAATGTTTTTTGATTGGAAGTCACGTTTTCTTTTTCAGATTGAGTTACGTATAGTTAGTTTCTCTTGAATGATAAAAATTAGACCTCTTATTTAACCTATACTTAACCATGAACATTTTTGGTTAGCAGGGCTTACGTTGGCCTCTTAAAGCATCCCTAATACTTGTGAGTGGATGCAGTGTCATATGCCAAGGTCACATAGATATGGTCATTCAGGTCCAGATCCTAGAAGTTGTTATATATTAAACCAGTACCCCAATTTCAAAGGTATAATGAATGAAAAGAAAACAGGAACACCCGCGAAGAAATATAGAGATTTACAGTGGTTTGCCCTCAAAACACATTCCAAAAGGCAACAAATTGTGCAGCTTAATATTAGTTGAAGGAGAAAAGCATAGCGAAGTTATGTGGTAATATTTTAAGATTGAGCCATACTGGTTATCGGCTGAATAGCACTCTATGGTTGTGTGTTGAAATGCATCTTGCCTGTGATTATCATACTCATGCTTCTTTATCAGGATTTAAACTCAATTTAGTCCTCTCTATTGATTTGTTTGTACAATTAACTCTCCTTCTTGCTAGGGTGACAGTTGAGAAATCTGTTTCAGTTACAATATTTTTCTACTATTATTTCTGCCAACCAGATCCTTTCGTGGCTAATTTGCAAATAATGATTCACTCACTCTGATTCTTGGTTTCTATTCCATTGAAATATTGTACCCGAGTTGTTTAGGTGAAGAAACGAGATTATTTTGTTAAAGCAGGATCATTTTTGGCAGATTACTTTGCTGATGCATTTTCTGATTATCTGCAAATGTTTTGGAGCAGCTGAGGTGTGAACTTGCACATCTATTCTGTCTAAGACGTACCAGAAACAGCTAGAATTTATGCCCATAAATCGAACTTTGTATTGCTCGAATGAGACGTATAGCTCTCCAGATTTCTCCAAATTTCCTTCTGCTAACTTAAGTTTTGAGTAAATGGTATGTCAGCCAAAAGGTCTCTGAGACGCTTGCTGACACTTCAAACTGAGAATACTTCATTTTCTGTAGTCTGCTTGCCACGACTAAGAAGGTGGAGTGGTGATCGGAATGGCTGATGATACTTAAATTAGGTGTTACCGTTTGCTGGGAGAGAATTTAACAGTTTCGATCAAGTATTTGATTTCACAAACTTTTCATGTGCTTGGCTTGGTAAATTTTTAGATTGTGGAGGTTGGAAAGTCTTGCCATGCCTCTACAAGGCATTCATGGTTGTGTAACCATGGTTCAAGTAACTAAAAATCAAGGTGAACTTTATTGGAACAACTGAATAAGTGGTATTATTGAAGTGTTCGATTGTTTAGAGTCTGATAGAGGCCAAGGAGTCTGTTAGGGGACTCATGGCTAGGTTCGATTATTGGCTTGACATTCTTGCTTGGTGCTTGCCTAAAAAATCCTTAGGCGCATGCTTAGTGGTTACTCTTAAAGAGTGGGCTCATTTACAGCCACACTTCAAACATATAGTGTAACTATATGTTAACCTAACACGTTAGATATCGTTGATAAAAGTTCAAAATTGAATTCAATTTAATGTACAAATGAAGTCAAAGAAATGGTAAAATAGTAAGTAGGCGACATTAGAACTTGTCCTAACATGATTCATAAGTTGAACATGTCTAAAATTGATGTTGTTTTCTAGTTGTTTAAAAGTCCTTTAGAATCAACAAGATTTTGAATTCATCTACATGTGACACTATTGAACAAGTTAATAACAAATATAAAACCTTTTGTTTTACGATGTTCCTTTAAAATGTTCTTAAATTATTTTTTAAATATCTAACACTCGAGTAATGTGTGTTTCTTGAGTACATTGAGAATTTTATATGGGAATTTTTTTTAATTCTTTATTCAATACATATTTTTAAACACGTGTATCAAATGATAGAGTGTATGGCATTATACAATGCACCAACTCATCCGTAAAGTGTTGTATATCCACGTGATCAAACTGTACACAATTATGTATAAGTAGTATTACCCCTAAGTATGTTTGCTTGGATTGCTAAAATATTTTTACAATAAATTAAATTAGGAAAGAGAAAAAAAAAATTCTCAAAAGCATAAAAGTTATTGGCCCAGGGGCCTCAGAGACCTTTACACAAGCCCAATATTCATTCTTCCCACAGAAGCCCAGTACAGCGACCTTTTCACCGTCAAGATCCAGCATTGGATTTGGATGGAAGTGAAGTGAAAAATGGAGGAAAAACAGGAAATCCCTGTCAGCGGTGGCGTTGTCAGTGGTGTGGCGGAGTACTGGTGGTGGGCCACCTCAAGCACCTGCCAATTAACCTGGGCGGTTTCCATTTATAGAAAAGGCTACGCCGGCGACTCTCATCTCATGCCCTTTAAAGCCTTTGCCGTCGCCTCCCTCTTTATTGGTGCCACCGCCACCGCCGCCGTTGCATCCCTTCGTGCCTCTGGTATCGAATCCGTATGTACTCTTCCTCTCTACACATCCATTAATAAAAGTTTAATTCTTGAGAGAAATTTGTCTGAAAATAAACAATATCATAGATGCAGTGATCAGTAATCTATGATTTTTGTGCATTATACAAAGAGTTATTTTGGTTGCTTATCTAGCCGTTGGAATTGGTTAGTTTTATTTTCGCAAAATTATACTTGCAAGGATTTAGTAGTGCAAATTCTTTAGTAATGGATTATCAGCGGAAAACCTTTAAAGTTTAATTTCTGCTTTCATTTAAATGAAAAACTAGTAATCTTATTGGGTTCGATTATATAGTTCAACATATAATTTGGTGACTTAGAAGTTGTTTGGTCCTCAGAATTTGACATTTTGAAATAGTTTATGATTTCTCATGACATATAGAGGCTATTCTAAGAAGAGATTATGGAACGCTGAGTCTAAGTAATCATCCCAAATAGGGGTGCTCTTACTTTGTACATCTACTGGATAGTATAAAGATCAAATTTCAGAGAGAATGAGTTTTTATGTATCATATTTGATAGATAGAGTATGTCTTGGCGGTCTATAGAGCTGGGTCTTATTTGTTTGGTTATTGGCCTCATTTGGAGAATAAAAGTTAATATCCTTCTCCTTCCTTGCATTGTCTAATTATCAGGCATTTTACCTCATCGCATACCATTGTTTTGCTATCCGAAAACTAGATTCCATTAATTTAGATGAAATACTGAAATATGTAGCAGCGTTTTTCAATAGATTAAATGAATTTGTTAGAGGAAGCAGAAATATACTAAATTAACTTGGGTTGTCTTGGTCACAAAGGATTTTGATTTCATTGAACCTTTAGATAGATGTAGTGTTTGACTGATTGGAGATGCGAAATGGATCTGACGTTGCTGTCTTCAGATTTATTGTGAATAAGACTTAGTCTATGTTTGTGGTGGTTTTGGATGAGGGAGGGATGGAGGAGTTGTTTGGTGCTCTACCATTGCCAGGTTGCCGTTTTGGCTGAGGCGAGCCAAACTTATTAACTGTTGGTCTTTATGAACTATTCCATATTCTTTGCAACTTTAAGAAGTCTTTGAAATAAAGAATATTAGAAACAAAGGTTTGTTTTCTTCATCTTGTAACTGAGATTTCGGAAAATGATGCTAGTAGATATGTGCACACAATATTGACCAAGTATGGAAATGCTATAACTAGTTTGCATATGGATTTATGGTTGTTATAAATTGCATCACTAAGGTGAGCATTTTAAGTTTAAAATAATGCTATTTGTAAATCATCATTTATAGATTAGTGTTGTGGCAAAAAGAAAGTTGGGGAGTGTTATTTTCTTGGTTGCTGAAATTTTGACTCAATCATATCTTGCCACATCATCTGTTCGGTGGACAAATCTGTAATCTGTAATCTGAAATTTTTACTTGCTTCTGTTTTGGCATCTGAACTCTTCAGCATTTCCAAATTTCTCTTCTGCTCTGTCCTGCTGCATTCATAGGACTTGAGTTCCATATATGCGATACTATTTCTGTTTTTCTTTTAATAAAAAATTGGAATTTACCGAAAAACTACAAGGATTCTTCATTTTCTGTCATTCGATAAGGAATAATTAAACCAGATTCAATCTGGTATGGCTCCACCAAATCTGGACAAGCGGATTTCACACAAACTGGTTTCTATATGGCTAGAGTTCGGCATTTAAAATTTCGTTACAAACATTAAAGTACGCTCCTCCTTTAGTAAAAAAAACTCGTTATCCAGTATTTCACATGCCATAATAGTATTAACTGCTTCAGTTCAGTCAACCATTCTACAGAAATTTAATTCAAGAGAAATATTCTCAATAGCGACAACGAAAAAAAGAAAGTTGAGAAACCTCATCCTTGCTCCTTTCTTTTCTCCATCCGAAATGGTAGCATCAGCTGTATAAATATTTTCACACGATAATTTCCAGTAGTCTTATTATCAGTTAGAAAATTGTAGAATATATGAGAGATTTGCTATTATTGATAGGAGCAAGCATCATCTTGGATGAAAATTTCTTCTCATTTAGCTTCGACTTACCTTGCTTGCCTCGCAATTATAAGTAACCGTATTTAATTTTGCTTGGTGATTTTTTGATAGCATAACCACACCCTTCTTTGGACTTTGTAGGTTGAAGACATGAAGCTTGCTGGTACAAATATAAGGAACAGACTAGGAATACGTCCAAGACCATGAGATGAGTAGATGCAGATTTCGAAGATTCTTGTATATCTGTAGCTTTTGCTCATTTTCACTGGCGCTGTTTCACAACGCGGTTTTGTTTTTAAATCGTTTTCCAATGTCAAACTTTACTATGGGAGAACATCAGCATGGAAAAAATGAATTGCTTAGCTTCAGTTAATGCATAATTTGCCTCTTTACTTGGCTAAACAGATTTCTCAAATCAGTTGGGGGCGTAAATGTCATGAACTAAAGTTAGGGACGTGTTTGCTATGCAATTTTTCAAGTTTTTGGGTTGGGCCAAGAAGCGACTAGGTCAAAGTGGGCTGTGAGCTTCCTGTAACCCATTATTTTAAGCCCATGTCAATAAATCAAAACAAGGGCACGTATGTAGTTGTGGACTGATTTTGAAATGGAAATGTGGCTAGATAGTGGGCAGATTGTGGGAATAACTACCCTAACCGTCACTACCCGGATAAAGCACGCCCAACAAATCAATAAAATTGGAAAATAAAACAACAAGCATTAATATATTACTGAAATCCTGTGAGCGAAATCTAGTAAAAAAATTTCTTGGTAGATATCACATCAAGATTGTCGTAATGGTATACATGAGTGGACGAGAGACTGACTCGAGTACTTTATTGGTGTCAAAAATCTGGTTGAACCGCTCCATAGACAGCAAATGCCCGTTTCTTCACGATATTATGGAGGGGAAGTGGAGAATGTACGAGGATATAGGTGAAATCAAGAAAGGACCATGGAATGAAGAAGAAGATAAGGTGCTGATAAATCATGTTAAAAAGTATGGTCCAAAAGACTGGAGCTCTATTCGATCTAAAGGCCTCTTGCATCGGACTGGCAAGTCTTGTCGTCTCCGTTGGGTTAACAAACTCCGACCCAACTTGAAAAAGTATGCATAAAATGCATTATTTTTCACATTCCTAGAATATTTTGTGTGATGAGGGTGAATGTCTTATGATGCACACACCCATAAAATTATTGGGAACAAGCCTTGGTTTCTTCCCCATATGGTTTTAGGCCTCGTGTGGATGCGCACGTGGGTTGAGGGTGACAACACATCTTCAAAGACTGAGAACCACGAAATAGCTTGTATGGTTTTAAGGCCTTGTGTCAGTCTGTGTGTGATGAGGCTGAGCTTTGTATGATTTTAGGCCCTGTCCGTGTGTGTGTGAGATTAGGCCGCTATATAAAAGGCATGTTAAATGTAATTGAGTTCTGTACATTTATGATTAAAATGAGGAAGGAATTAATGATAGGTTTCTTGATGCTGCTTATGCTTACCTCTTACTTTTTCTACTTTCCATACATGCTTACATTTTTGCACAATTTATGTTGGATCTTTGTTCGAACAATTTTTGGCGTTTTAATTCAGCCATTCTCTCTCATTTATGCATAGATGAAGTGTTTGATGGAATGTGTGTGATATCAGATATATCCATCTCTGTTTTTACTAGTTAATTTCCAATTTCGTGTAGTGGGATTAAGTTTTCGGCAGAAGAGGAAAGAACCGTAATAGATCTTCAGGCCCAACTCGGGAACAAATGGGCGAGTATCGCCACATATTTACCAGGAAGAACAGACAATGATGTCAAGAATTTTTGGAGCAGCCGACGGAAGAGGCTGGCAAGGATTCTACAGACGCCTCCATCGTCTTCCAGCAAACAAGTCGAGGCCTCCGGTGTCCATGTACCTTCTTTGGAGGTAAGAAGTTTGTTTAGTTTCCTTACTACATGAATTATAGCATATCAGCAAACTTTTTGGTTAATGCTGGACAATCGTTGGATTATTCCCGGTTTAAAGTTATTTGGAATATCCAATTTTACAAGCTTGATTAGTAGCGCCCCTGATTGGCCCCCATTATTTTCCATTAAATTATAATTCATTTTTATCTCTCTTCTTCTTATGAACCACACATTCTTCAATAAAATAATATTACACAAACTCAAAAACTTTTCATTCTTTTTTAGTCATATATTCTCCAACAAATTACTATTCATCTCATTACAATTGCATATAATAGGGGCCAAACGAATATAATTGGACTTATGCACATCAATCTAAACCAATTAGCAGCAGCTTCTGGAATATCATTTTCAATTTTCAGGCACTCGAGTTCACCTCAGGAAAACAAAGAGAAGCTGCGTACGAGCAAGATATCGAACAACAAGAAGGAAAAGGATTGACGGATCTGATATATCCAATCACTTTTAATTTTGAAGAGAGCTTGTATCAGCTCGAATTTGACCCTACTGACATGAAACTGCACAATGCATTACAATCATCTCTCCCATTTCCTCCACAACTCAATCTAGACTTCCCTCCACTCGGAAACCAAGAATTCATCACGAGGTTTGAAGATCCCAACTTCTTCGATGTTTTTGGGCATGGAGGTGCTTCAGAAATTGGGACTGCTAGCGTTGCAAATGTAACTCCGGAAATAAGCTTCATTGAAGATTTCCCACCCATGGACATTTTCGACCATATTGAACCATTTCATAGCGCATTAGAGTGGTGATAAGATGATCTTGGAATCATTTGCGATCGGGGTTCAATTTCTGTTAGATACTGTGGAGGGAGTCGCGCAATAGACTAGTTTGTGCCTTGATTTGGTAGTTGCACTTACTTTGTACTATGGCATGACGGACACATTTAATAGCTTATATATTTGCAGATGTTTTCCTTCTCATTTTCCAACCTTTGTTCACATTTGAACTGAATTCAGTTTATTGCAAGATGGTTGTATTCAGTTCCAGAATACAAATCCTAGTGGAAACTTTTCTTGGCCACGTGGCGACTAGTTCTACGTTACACAGACAAAAACAAAAAAGAATGAATAGAGCAACATTGGAACATCAATCTAGTTGATGTTTGTTTTCTTTGAAGAATCATCCGATGCTACCTCTGAGTCACCAGTGACGTAAGTAATACCTACTTGACCTTCGTGTAAACCAAGTAAATCTCCAGCTGTAAATGACTGATTTTCACCAAAAACGATAGGTCTCCCCGAGTGCGAGTAAGCACAATACTCGAGTCCACGTACCTTCTTGACCTCCTGCATGAATCCACAAACAGCAGACTCTACTCCTTCCCCTGGTCAGCAAACATAAATTTATGTAAATAACAATAACTGAAGCATTTCCACAAGATAAAGAAAAGTGTCACATAATCCAACACAAGATTCCCCTTTTACGTTGAAAAGGTCCATATCAGTAATCACAATCCTATGCATGGATGGTACGAAAAGTCATTTTTGTTACGCTACTAATACTTGTACTTGCTTTGCTATTTGGCCCATGCTTGGCTAAGCGCAACCCTCTAACTCGCTTGATTATCAAGAACTTACCATGAGTCACGAGCAACAAGTTCTCCGAAGGATATTTATCAGCAAGAGCCTTGATAACCTCGCGATATCGAGCCCTAGCACCTTCAATTGTTTCTTGCCATTCCGGCAGCTACAATAATAGAAGCCACGCCACATTCAGTACAAGAAAACTGTAACAAACCGCAAATATATCATTCTAAAAATTTAGGATAGAATTATGTATAATGGACCTGACCTGCTTGTGCAATTGTTCTGCAGCGTGGTCAATGGTTCCGGGGGGTAAAACAGCTTCACATTGTGAAAGATTGAAATTGAAAACCCCGTCTTTTGGAGCCACATTCGGTCTAATGGCACGCAAGTTCATCATCTCGCACAATCCATATTCAATCGCAACCTATAAAATAATACCGGTAAGACATGCAATGGAATGGATTATCATAATCAGATAATTTTATCCCAAAAATTTGTAACATAATCAAATATATTTATTTGTTTTAAAAAGGAGAACCATTGGATTTCATCCTCCCCAAAGAAGAGAACTTACATGAACAAATTTCCAGCTTCATAATAGAGAGAGAGAGAGAGAGAGAGAGAGATCAAAATTTTTATAGCCACATTTTCTCAAAGTTTAAGCAGAATTCCTTTAAATCGGGTTTGAATGGTAGTACTAGAGAGAACTAAAAATGCTATAAACAAGATTTTAGTTTGTTTCTTTTTCTTACTAAATGTACACGTGCGTTTAATATACAAGTAATTGTACATGCTTATTATTTAATACCACATTAACGCCATATAGATTGACATTATAACCCAGTGTGGCTAAATAACATTACTCATGTGAAAAATTGGATTTTAAGATGTTTTCTTGTAAATTGTAACTAACATTTTGGTGCACCACAACTAACATATGATTTTGAAATTGAGCTAGTAAGAGAACATTAAGGGATTTAATAAAACATGGCTTATCATTTAATATCGCATCAGTGTCTTCTAAACTGAGATTGTAACCTCAGTGTGACTAATTAACATTACTCATTTGAAAAATTGGGTTTTAAGATGTTTTCTTGTAAGTTGTAACTAACATTTTGGTGCACCGGAACTAACATATAATTTTGAAATTGAGCTAGTAAGAGAACATTAAGAGATTTAATAAAATATGGCTTATCATTTTTGTTACATTCCTTTGACTAAAAATAATATTGTGTAATCTAAAATACCCTTAAGTTCAATACAAATAAAATGCATTCCGTGGATTGTAATCTAGTTGACATTTAAATAAAAAACGCTTTCAAGTGATTAGATGGCTTAGTTAAATATTATTAATCGATATAGTCTAATAATTTATTCTATCTCTAATGTATATTTAATAGGAAGAGAAAATAAGAAACACGAGAGAGAGAAAGAAGGAGAGAAAAATATTAAATTATGATGGTGATCGAGAAGAGACTTTACATCTAAACGATCTTCTTGAAAATGTGTATTTTTTTCCATGCTACATCTGGAGACAGTAGACCTCAACATTTTTCAGACATTATTATTTTAACTTGTATGAAAAAAATTTCAGTGCAATTTGGAAAAACAATGAAACATTCAAACCTTTGATCTTATAGTTGTATGTACATGCAAACACACATAATATAAATATTAATCAACCGAAAAACTGACCTTAATTTTGGATGGATCGATAACGACGCTGTTGGAACTCGAATTGTTGGGATCATCGTGTTGACCCTCGACGGCACTTAAAGCGATAACAATTTCGGCGGCGGTTTGAAGACACCGGAGGAATGGGGAGACGAAGATCCGGTGGATCGGGAATCCGAGCTTGTTCCGGAGACTTTGACCTGTGCAATATGCCCGAATTTTCCCAGCTTCCACAAGCGGCGGATCCCACGGCCGCTTCGCTGTCGAAATCCACAGAGGCTCGAAGTTGTCCATTCTGTCGCCGTGCCTCATAACGANCGACGTTCTGATAGAACTGCGATTCGTTTGTTAATTGTCCATGCAAGGAACCCATTGTTGGGTTGGGTGACGAGTTCTCAGAAGTTTGATGCTGGGAAGAAAAGATCGATTCAGAGGATTATATAAATATAAATATACATATATAGATAGAGAGAGGTACATATATATACATATAGAGAGATAGATTTCGGGTTGGAGATTTTGGTAGAACAATTCAATCGAGGAAGATCCTAAGCAATTGCGACGCATTTCACTGTCAACCATCAACGCCTTCGTAACATTTCTTGTCGTGTGGTGAAACACATATATAAGGATTTTCATTTTCTTCTTATCAATAAAGGTAAGTTATTTAAGTTTAATTTAACTTTGGTCAAGTTTCTTATCAACTACTTAGTTTATAACGTTGTTTTAGTAATATCAAAATTGTGTGTTTGATTCTTAGTTATTTTTAAAATACATTTTTCTCTCTTATTTTCAATTATACATTCTTTAATAAAATAATATTGCACGAAAACCAAAATTTTTCCTTATTTTTTAACAACACGTTCTTCATTAATCTACTATTCCAAAATGCATTCTTAGCAAAAATTTGGGCTCGAACATGCACTCAAAATGTTTTACTTGATCAAAGTCAAGTGTGAAACTAGAACTATATTTTAGACCATGTTTGATTTGGCAATTTTTCCATGAAACTTGGAAATAAAATTCCATCTTCCACCAAAAGTCATGTTTGATTGGGAAAATTTTCTTGGCGGTTCATTTTCCATCTTTTGCCTCACATGGTTTCAATTTCATGGTTTTAAGGAAAATCAATTCTCACCAATTTGGTAGGATTTGGTCTTCCCGGCTGCTTTGCTTTTTTTTTTTTTTGTAATGGAAATAAATTCTATCATCAATTGTAACAAATTATATCCCTTTAATGGACAATTTTCATGTAAAATAAAATCAAACGAACACCAAAAAAATCCAAAATTTTAATATTTTCCATATGAAAAATTATACTAATAAAACACAATTAATTGACAATTTTCAAAAAAACAATTCTAAGCAATTCAATTTACTGGAATTCATTTTCTTTCCACCCAAATTTCACTCTTGCAATTAAACGGACCCTTAAGATTTACTCAATTTGAAAGTTAGACTTGATATGGACTTTGGGGGTCGGCTAAGGTTTTATTTTTGGCTAGCTTTCCATGCTAAAAAAAAGGGTCATTTTTCTAGAGTAAAACAAAAAAAGGAAGAAAATCGGTACATACTTTATGATGAGCTATAGCTCAATTTTCTAACACCAAGGGCCTGTTTGATAGGTCCTTTTTTTTTTTTTAATGGAAAATGGAATTTCATTTCCCACTTTTGCCATGTTTGATAGTCCCCCCGCGTGACCCCTTTTCCATGAATTCAATAATTGAAATAAATTCTATTGACAATAGTAAAAAGGAAAAAAAAAATTCCCTTTAATGGACAATTTTCATGAAAAACAAAGTCAAACGAACACCAAAAGATCCAAAATTTCAACATTTTCAGGTGAAAAATTATACAAATCAAACACAATTAATTAACAATTTTTTTGGAAAACAATTCTAAACAATTCAATTCCCTATAATTTATTTTCTTTCTACCGAAATTCCACTCTTACAATCAAACAGACCCTAACATCAATCTCATGTCACCTGTTGTTAATCGTCGCTAATTAGGTATATACAAGTTTAAAAGTTCTACATGATAATAATTTTACATTCATAACGAAATATAAAGCAAAGCGAAGTATAATCACAATAAGTGTGTTGGGGAAGAGAAAGTGAAACGTATAATAACTAATATATAGATAATGTATTTTTAGTTAAATTATATATATTGATCCAATTTGTTTATTTTATTTTCTTTTCTTTTCTAGTTTTGAGCAAAATTCAATTTTATTTTTTTTTAGTTTCTCTTTCACTTCATAATCGTCTAAAAGAGGTATCTGAATAGCAGCCAGCCAGCCAACTAAATTCCAATTACGGTCATGGTAGAATAATAATCGATTGTTTGTCTTGTAATGATAAAATTTCGTGGAAATTTAGTACGAAGAATGAGTCAGAGGAAAAATCAAGACAAAATTCTATAGAGTGGGCGAGCAGCTATTTACAGGAAATTGTCCTATATTGTCGCCAAGCCATTTTTTTCCAGGAAGTCAAATAAATGGTGCTGTCGTGCGCATTTAATCTACTCCAACAAGACAACAAAACAAAATCTAAAATGTGTTATCGTCTTGAATAGGATGGGAGAAAGCAATAGTAATCTCAGATGTGGATCGCGTATCAACAATTAATTTTAATCATATATTTTATGATATTCATAATTTTTATCAATTTTTCACCCATTAATTTTAATCATAATTTTTGTGAAAGGTTTGTTGGCACGAAACGTCTATACGTCTGGCCTTTAATATTCAAAATGTTTTTACATTTCAATTTTTTATATTTTCACCCATATTTTTGCATTTCATTGTGAAAAACGTCATTTTCACCTATTTTTATTCAATTTTTCAGTAAAAAAATGTAAAATAACAAATATACCATCCTATTTAAATAAAACAAAAAAATAAAGAATAAATAAAAAATTAATTGCAATCATACTCCTAAACTTTTTTAAAAAGTGTAAATGAATCTCAAATAAATTATTAAAAAATTCAAAAACTCTCCCTCCCAACCACCACGAACAATGAACAATTTTCAATAAATATATTTCAAATCATATATTATTGGGCAATGAAACATTTGGTGCCCCAATTTCAAATTGCATGGCTGTCGGAAGAATTGAAGGGGATGGAGCTCACCCCCAAAAGTTTTCAATGCTTCTAGATCCATTGGTCGTGTCCCCAATGCCTGAATACCTCCAGAAATTGGAGAATTTGAAATTGCAGGTTCTGTAGAGTCAACAACCAAGTTTGACTCCAAATTTGAATCAATTGGTAAATAATTTGGATCAATTGGATGCTTACCCATTGAACTATGAACCCAATTTGAAATGCTTATGAATTGTAGGTGGCAGGTTGTTTGAGTTGGGTGGGCAGTTTGTGGTCGAAATTGGATTGATTTAGGTGTTAACTGGGGCAATTAAATTCACACACACCGTTGTGTGATGTTGATGAGGATTAACATGTGACAAATTCTGTGAATCAATACCCTCAAACCCATGAATTAATAGAGGCACATTGGCCACACTTTCTGTACACAACAAAAGGGAATTCCAAGGCATACCAACGTCATATTGTACTTTTCTTGTGATGTTTCTTCAAGAGTATGGACGACTAGATGGGGTGAATTGACCGACAATAATGGACGACCATGGATATTGACAAAATTGTCAGAATTGGTGAAAAATAGCAATTCTTGGTGTATTTAGGATTGATTTTGTGTCGAATTTGTCGCTATTTGTGCAATTGTTTGGTTATGATGGATTGATGGAGTATTGGCACTGATCGGGGAGTGAAATTCTAGTGATTTTAGCGGGTGAAACATGGTAGATATGGGAGGGATTGGTGGCGATTCCATAGAGGGACAAAACTCACCCCCTTCTAGAGAGAAGTGGAAAGGTAGGTCATGGATTCGAGGAAATATCACTAAATTTTGATCATGCTCCAATTTGATTGAAAACTGAGGCAAAAGAAGGTGGTGATGGTGGTGATGGTGGTGGTGTATGAGGAGGAGAGAGAGAAAATTTTTTTAAAATAATTTAATAATTTATTTGGACTTATTTGCACTTTTTAAAAAAGTTTGGGAGTATAATTGCAATTTGCTCTTTATTTTTTGTTTTATTTAAAGAGAATGATATATTTGTCATTTTATATGTTTTTTATTGAGAAATTTTAAAAAAATGATGTTTTCCATTGCATACTAAATGTTAAATGTAGAGACGTGTGAAACAACTCCATATAGTAACAAGTTAAACATTTGATTTAAAAAAAAAAAAGGACCATCATCTTTCTTTCACTAGGAGGAAAGGCCTGAATGGGGCTAGCAAGGTCGAGGGTGGGTGATTAAAAATTATCTCAATTTTTTTTCTTCTGTTTTGCCATTCCTTAAGTGAGGGTTATTTGGTAAAATTTCGTTCTTGCTATTTGAAGTAGGTCTAGATTTCATTTATCTCGAATTATGTATCAAAATCTATCTCATTAATGTCCATGTTAAATTATTGTATCAAATAATAATCAACTGGATTTTCGAGAAAAATCCGATTTTATAAGATGAATATTCCATCTACTTTGACATTAGTTAAGAATGAAAAATATTAGAGTAATGCTACTTGCAGTGGCTCACTGCAGCAGTCGCCCTATGTGGCACACACATATCATGCTAATTAAATAGTGACAGAGAGTACTGAGTTTTATACTAAGAGTACTAAAAAATTTATTTATGAGGAGATAATTCTAGTTTGTACATATAACATTAATTTTCACGCATTCTTGTAATTCAGCTCGAGACTAATGATATCCTATGCTTTTGAAAGGACAAACAACTAAAAGATAAAGGATATATCCTGCAAATATAAAGAAGAAGGGTAAAATAGTATTTTTAAAGACTTAATTTTATATTATTAAAAATCTTTGTGAGTGTCTGTAAGACATCTGTAAACCAGTTGTCTGTAAGGGTAACATGATCCTTCTAAAGGTGGATTGGCGAAAATAGGTGGTTAAAAGATAAAAAAAATGTTTTTTTATTTGTACGTAATATTATTTAATTAAAGAATGTATGATTACAAAGAAAGAAAAAAAATGTATTTTGAAAAGAACGAAGATCATATCTCAGATTTGAACTAGTGCAGCGGTGATCACATAACTTCACCCTAATTGCGATTAGATCATTAAATCAGACTTTAATTCTTAGGAATTGAGTCACATTAACTTTAATTTAACAGCAATCAACTACTTAATGCAATTTAACAACTCATAAATGATGTTTAAACCTACTTTGCAATGGATCACCAGGAGTATGTAGCCTCGGAACTAATATGTCAAATTTTAACTTATGCATCAAATCTGTTATGTCATCTAATAATGTCAATATTTAGTGGTGTAATTGTTATTTAGCCCTTATTTGATTGTCATTACTTTCAAAATACATTTTTCTCTCTTCTCTTTTCAATCACATATTTTTCAATAAAATAATATTACACGCAGATTTAAAACCATTTTTTTTCTTATTTTTCAACTACGCATTCTTCATCAATTTACTATTTTAAAATGCATTCTTAACTTTTTAATGGGAGACTCAAACATGCTATTAATTAAAGTTAAGCCCTTGTTTGAGCTCCATTTTGAGAAGAAAATATATTTTGGAATAGTAATTTTTTATTTGTGATTAAAAAGGAAAAAAATTGATTTACGTAAAAAATTATTTTATTTAAAAATGCGTCGTTGAAAATAATTTTTTTTTTTTTTTAAATGAGAGCCAAACATAGACTTGAGTGAACTAGTTGTAGGAAATTAAAGTTCAATAGTTGGGTTGGTACAATTAGCTAACCACTCAATTAATTATTAATACGTCATTTTAAATTAACACTTCAGTGGCTTAAATTGAAATTAATTAGGGTAAATTTGAGATGATATGTTAATTTAAAAATGACTTATCAATAAATAATTGAATGGACAACAAATTGACCAATAAAAATTGAATCACATATGTTAACTCCTTGTGGATTACCGTGTATCTAGACATTAGTTTTATAAAAGGCTTAATAGCACAAAACGTCCATACGTTTGACACTTCTTGCGGAAAACATTTCTATGTTTCATTTTTTTACATTTTCTTCCTTATTTCAACGTTTCATTACGGAAAACATCATTTTCACAATTTTTATCGTAAATTGACCAATATACCCTTCTATTTAAATAAAAAAAAAGAGAGAGAGAAGAAAAATAAAGGGTAAATTATAATTTTACTCCTAAACTTTTTTAAAAGAGAAATGATATTCATCCCCAATCTACGTGGCGTTAATGTGGCATTAAATGATAGGTGAAATTAAATAAGTCATTTAATTTCACCTATCATTTAACCAATAATTTACATCCACATAAATTGGGGATACATCCCCACTATGGATGAATAGCATTTTTCTTTTTAAAAAGTGTAGATGAGTCTAAATAAATTATTAAAATATTAAAAATAACCAAAAATAAAAATTGTTTCTCTCTCATCTTCTTTTCCTCCCCATCCCTCAGCCTTCTCCACAACCACCACAAGATATCGTTCCTCATTCTTAACTAAAACCCATCTTTTAGAACACTCAAAAATCTTATCTTTAGCCGCATGTCAGAGACTCAGAAGAAATTGGAGAAGAAAAATAAATGATGATCTGATTTTATTAAGAATCCATCAATGGGTTTGCCAAGAATTACCTTTTATTTTGTTCATGTTTGTCCACTCATTTTAACCATTCTTGAGCTCACCCCAATATCCAAATCTGCACCTGACTACACTAGTTTAGTGTACAAATGCTGTGCCAAGCAAGATTTAGCATATCCAATGGGGGTTTACTCACAAGCACTCTCCGTCCCTTTTTGGCACCCTTATTGCCCAATCCTTAAACGCCAAATTTTACAAAACCACCACTGGTAGTGGCCAAACCACCGTTAATGGCCTTTTTCAATGCAGAGAAGACCTGTCTGGGGTTTTACTAATATCCCCATTCATATTGGGAAGGAGAAAGGTTCTCAACCTCCAAGTACTTCGTATTCTGTTCTGAGAAAGCAGCAGAATTTGCTACAGCAATTATTACCCCCTGTGGCACTTAATAATATACTTGTTTAGTGCTCTCCTCCCAATTTCACTGCCATTTACATTTCTTGTTTTCTGGAATTCGGGGAATATTTTGTTGAATTTAATTTCTTGTTCAGGAACCGACTTTTATCTTTCCCCTGAATCAGCAACAGGCAGCTGTGGTGGTTGCCTCTGCTTGACCCGCCACTGCGAAGCCTCCAACCACAATAGGTAGTGTAGCTTCACCTAACATCTCCAATTCCGCAGTCACTAGTTCCTCTATCGCGATTGGTAGAGCACCTATTGCTATGAGCTTCAACTACCGAACATGCCCCCCAGTGAAACCCCATACTTGGCTATCTTGCAGAATAATGCATACCCTTTTCCCCATACATGCTTTATGAAGTTGCAGGATTTTCTCAAATCTCCGAGATGAAAATGTTGTACTAGACTTGCAGTGGAAAGAATGTTGAAGGGGCTGGATACGAGGAAAATATAGATAGTGCATTTTCTTCACTTGCAATTTCTATCATAACATAAGTATTTGGGGGTTGATAACAGCAGTTTGTGGTGTGAGCTTCGATGGTTTTAGCGGTGGTGGTGGTGGACAAGGAGGCTGAGGGAGGGGGAGGAGAAGAATAGGAGAGAGAAACATTTTTTATTTTTTATTTTGGTTATTTTTAATAATTTATTTGGACTCATTTGCACTTTTTAAAAAAATTTAGGAGTAAAATTGTAATTTGTTCTTTATTTTTTGTTTTATTTAAAGAGAATGATATATTTGTCATTTTATATGTTTTTTATTGAGAAATTTGAAAAAAATGACATTTTCCATTGCATACTAAATGTTAAATGTAGAGACGTGTGAAACAACCCCATATAGTAACAAGTTAAACATTTGATTTTAAAAAAAAAAAAAAGGACCATCATCTTTCTTTCACTAGGAGGAAAGGCCTGAAGGGGGCTAGCAGGGTCGAGGGTGGGTGATTAAAAATTATCTCAATTTTTTTTCTTCTGTTTTGCCATTCCTTAAGCGAGGGTTATTTGGTAAAATTTCGTTCTTGCTATTTGAAGTAGGTCTAGATTTCATTTATCTCGAATTATGTATCAAAATCTATCTCATTAATGTCCATGTTAAATTATTATATCAAATAATAATCAACTGGATTTTCGAGAAAAATCCAATTTTATAAGATGAATATTCCATCTACTTTGACATTAGTTAAGAATGAAAAATATTAGAGTAATGTTACTTGCAGTCGCTCACTGCAGCAGTCGCCCTATGTGGCACACACATATTATGTAGTTATTTGATGCATTAATGTGCTGTGGGTTTCATACTCAAAAACATTTAATTAACGTGTCATATGGGGAGACACTTTCTAATACTCCCATGGTTATATGGAGTATTAAGTGGTTTCTACCACGATTTAATAAACATGTATATAAAATAATTGGGACTCGCTGTTTAATTGTGATCCAAATATAAACATGCTAATTAAATAGTGACAGAGAGTACTGAGTTTTATACTAAGAGTACTAAAAAATTTATTTATGAGGAGATAATTCTAGTTTGTACATATAACATTAATTTTCACGCATTCTTGTAATTCAGTTCGAGACTAATGATATCCTATGCTTCTTTTAAAAATCTTAGAAGTCAATTCTCCAAATTATTCTTTTCTAATCAGTATTTGGATAACATAATTGTCAATAGCACATATCCACTCGGGGCGGCTGTCAATAAGCACATTTTTCCCCCATGCGTGCATCAAGATAGACAACTTTTCTCCAGTAATTATAAACTTGATGATTCTATGGAATATATTTAAGGGAAAATTGTAGTAGTGCTTTTTTACGGGCTTTATCCTAATCTGCAACTTGTACCAACGAAGATTCCTAAAGGAAGGTTCCTAACCTTTCAAAAATATGCAGTAAATATCCAAATAGATGATTTCCACCGTCCATTTGACTGTTAGTTGACTAAGAAAGTCAAAATTGATTAAATCTAATCAATTTTGACTAAATTTAAAGGAGTGAAATGGTAACTTGATAATTATTACATTAAATAAATAAAAAACCAAAAAGAAAAAAAAAATGGTTGTCTCCTCCAAACTCCCAACCAACCCTCCTACCCCCATCTCCTTTCCCATAGCTACCAGCAACATTGGCACCACCACTCATTGGCCAACCACACCCAACCCAAAACCAACTGCCACCACCATCAAACCTACACCCAAAACCTAACGATCAAGTTGATGAACCTCAGGACTTCTGTTGTATATTTCTAAAAGGTTAGAGACTTTCGTTGGCACAAATTGAAGATGATGATAAAGTTTGCAAAAAAGTAAAAGGTTATAGAACGCAACTGCAAATTTCCCTAAATTTAATCTCTACTCAGGCTCATACAATCCAGTCTCAACCTTATCAAACAACATCAACTTGTCAGCCCAAAATCACATCACTTGTTTACTTCGGTTTCTCTAGATTACACCCACAAAGGACACAAGAAGAGAGATGCTTTATTGCAGCCACAAAGGTAGAAAGAGAGATGAAGAAGATGGTTAAAGGAAGCACAAAGCAGTCGTCGATCTCAAGTCTTTCACAAGCAATGGCAAACACGGTAATAGTGGAGGGAGGCAGGCAGCCATATACATATAGGTTAGATAAACAAGTGGGCCAAGACAAGACAACAAATGGGGCCAAGACAACATGACTGATGGGCCAACCTAAACGGACCATGAGCGTCTCTAATTAAATTAGAGAAAATTACCTGGTACCCTGCATTTAAGTTTCCAAATTCAAAAATCAGGTGTAATGTTTGTTTAATAAAAAATCAGGTCTTAATTCAATTAATAATTAAAACCCTAATTTCCAACCCCGTCCCTCATTCATCTCCATCTCTGAATCGTCCCACATCTCTCTCCTCTCTCTCTCTCGTCCTTCATCGCGTTGTCGTCGGAGACCTGTGAGCAGCGACGATGCTCCCCTGCGATAGTCGGCAGACCTGCGAATCGCGATAGCATGCAGCACCGTGTCGAGATCCGTTATTTTTCTTCGTCATTTTTATTTATTTTTTTGCTATTGGGCGTGGTTGTGGTACTTAGCCTGATTTTGGATCTATTTTATGGTGGTGATCGATCCGTTGCTGTGACGGTGTTATTGAGGTGATTTTTGTGATGTTGGTTGGTCATGGATTTCGAATGGTGGTGATGGTGCCGAGTGCTAACGGTGATGATGACTGAGATTGGTGGTGGTGGTGCGACGGTAGTGGTGGTGCCGCAGTGGTGTTGTTGGTATTGTGGTGGTGTCGACAGTGACTGGGTAAAGATTGCCGTATTGGCAGTGGCGGTAGTGTTGATGGCATCAATTTTTGAATTTGCAATAGGATGATTCAAAACTAGGGGCAGAAGATGAGGACATTGGGGCACATGTGGCTCCTATCGTCAAACTGCAAGAAGTGGCTGTTACAACTGGCGAAGAAAATGAAGATTTCTTTCTCGATATGAAGGCAAAGCTGTATAGATTTGATAATGAAGGGAGCCAATGGAAAGAGAGGGGCGTTGGGACACTGAAGCTACTCAAGCATAAGGAGAGTGGCAAAATTAAGCTTGTCACGAGGCACAACAAGACCCTTAAGATTTGTGCTAACCATCTGGTGCTACCCACAATGACTGTG